AACTGTGCAGTATTTTAGTTCACTTATATTTTAATTACAACTCTCATATGAGGTCATGTGTAGAATTTCCCACTTGTGACATCATGGTAGCATGATGGATTTGAGAACATTGCAAATTTCAGAATTTTTTTATTAGAGATGACTTAAAATATTTAATCTGTACTTCATTTTCCTGTTTGAAAAAAGAAGTATGTGACATACTTGTGTTCTACTGTGGGACGTTTTGTGTACCTTTGAACTGATTCAGAACCACCCCAGATACTTCATGCATACTAGATGTCTGTGCTGTAACTCAGATACATTCAGCTGTATTGATGTGCAAAGCTAACACAGATATGAAGTGCATAATGAGTTACGATCCAACACAGAGCACAGTATTCCAAATAAAGATACTCATATTGGAATATTTAAGACAGAGTGAGACCCAAGGCCGTGTGTGGTGTGTGGCCTCTGTGTTGCATTCTGTGGGATGTGGTGAGATGCACTGCTACAAGGAAGTTTTTGTTTATAGTCCTGAATATCTTTTCTTTGTAACCCTTGAAACCAGGTTCCTTAACCCTGCTGAGAATTTGACCCTCTCATTCTTGTTTTGAAAACAGCCTAGCTACATAACCTAGACTGCCTTTAAAGTCACTATGTAGCCAAGGCTGACCTGAAACTTAGAACCCTGCCTGAGTCTTCCAGGTGCTGGGAGGAGTAACACCATGGCCCTGACAAGACAAAGTTTTAAATGTCTTTATTATAATTTTATCTACATATTTGTGACTTCATATCTCTAAAATGAATTTATAGTTACAGCATAGACTATAAGCAAAGCTACAAAATTATTGTGATTTAAATCAATAAAATTAGGGTTGGTATTTAGTTAGGATTAGGCTTGAGACAGGAAAACACTTATTTATGCAGGTGGCTTTTGAGCTTTTTTTAAAGAACAATGGGGGATCTGGTCATATAGAGGTGAGAATATAAAGAGAAGAATGAACGTGAAGACAGGGATCAGTTACATAAGAGTGGAGCAAATATTTGAGCAGAAAAGAACCCTTTGGGAGTTAATGTAGGACAGGGACATAAGGTTGCTTTGGTCCTAGGGATAAATGGAAACCTTTGAAGATGTGTGAATAGAACAATAGAATACTATACTTTTAATTCGTCTTCACGTAGAAACACTTCAATCAGTGAGAACAGGAAACAATAAGGTAGAAGGCCCAGAAGGTCGACTCTGTTCATTTGACTTATTCACTACTGTGTTGGCAGGACCTGGGACACAGAGCATAGTCATCTGTCAGTGTCACTGGATGACTGTGTGGTGTGTCTCACATGGCCAGCAGAGAGGCATCCCCACAGAATGGTGTGGAAAGTAGCCTAGACTAGCTGTGGAAATTAGCAGCTGATGCCATGAGCTGGAGCGAAACGTACAAGGGAGCCCTGGTGCAGAATTGTGAAGGAGGGAGAGGAGGAGCAGGCTAAGCCTGAGCCTCTTCTGCCTCTGCAATAGTTGGTGAAGGGGGAGATACTGGGGGGGGTGACAGAGATGGTGAAGGTGACAAAAGTGATTTAGGAGACTTTTGTATCATAAACCAAAAGGCAGAAGGGTGATTACTCATTTCTAATGCCCAACTCATGAATGGCTATTTTGGATTTTGAAGTTGAGCCTTATTTTAAAGCAGGCTTCCTTTGAAGCTACCCACTGTTTAAAAAAAAGAATGGACATCGTAAAAGGAATATATGGATTACTGTTGAGGGGAGCAAGGCCAAGGCAAGCAAATGGGGTGTACCTTGAAGTACAGAGGGTAATTTCAGGATTTGTGTATTTTGGAATGTAATACCTACTTCCTTTAGGCTTCTTATTACTACAACATTGAGCTAAATTTTAGTACATTATACATAGTTATTAAGCACCAGGATAATTATATCACAAAAAGATGTTTGCCTTATGAATTCATTTAATTTCATATTTTTATTAGTGACCTACCCTGAGATATTTTAAGTTATTGTATTGTTTTATTTCCAAACAACTTTCATGAAAGTTATTTTGCCTAAAGCAGGCACACAGATTAGTTGTTAAAAAAAATAAGACATAAGCTCAAAAATAGGCATTGCTTCCTTATGGCTCTGAAAGCCATTGTGAGCCTCTTAGTAGTGTTACCACACCAGCAAGCAGCAGGACTGAACCTTATGTTTCCATTTTGATTAACTTGACTGCGGTTGGTATTTTGGGTGCCACTTTATAGCCCACTGTGGAATAAAATTAAAACATTCTTTATGATACAACAATCCATTTGCTGAAATTGGCATTTTTCTCCTATCCCTGAGTGGCAATGCACTCCTCCTGAGTTTCCCATGTGGGCCCCAGGGCTCCATTTCCTCCCTTCCCAATGCATCTTCTGTAATATCTCCAGATCTGTGTTCCCGGAGTGCTGTTGTTCATCCCCGGCTCCTGGAAGGCTCCCATCTCCTCCACTCCAAGCCCAACCCATCCATCACAGGGAAAGCCCAGAGGCTCTGTTCCCCCTTTAGTGCTTCATGTCTGCTGATGTTCCAGATCCAGTCGAGGTCGTGGGTCTCTTCCACAGCTCAGTTCTCGTGCTCCCTCCCACGGAATTACACGTGAGCACACTGCAGGCTTCTTACCAAATCTCCTTTATGTCTCTACCAATTCCTCCATTGCCTGCTCCCAGATATATATAAAAAAGCAACACAAGTGAAGTGAGTACAGACATCATAGCACATGTGCACCAACATACATACATGTACACAAAATAAATTAAGCAAATAAATAAGTAGACGAAAAATCAAAGTTTGTTGGACAAATGAATAAGGAATATTTTGAAATTTAGGAAGCATGCAGACTGCCCCCTCAGACAATCACAACCTCTTTCTAATACTTGCATGATCCCTTTAGTGAACTCTTTCTGTTTTCCATAGCGCCTCTCATACAATTCACTGGTGATGAAGTAGTCACGGTTCTTGGTGGCGTTGGCTGTCTCCTCCTTGCTGGATACTGAGGCCTTTGTTTTGTTTGCTCAGAAGCATGTTGGTTGTGCTGGCTCAGTAAATGAATGAACCTGGAAGCCCATGGGCAGCTTCTCCCTGTTGTCTGGGTTACTGCCAGTGGTTTTTCAGGTAAAGTCCAATGTAGCAGATCAGGAAGAACTGTAGGGTCTCCAAAATAAGAGTCTCCCACTCACTAACTGTACACCTCCAAGTGAAATCCTTGCGGTTCATTTCTTTCCCTAACTAAAGAACAGCATGAGCTAAAACTACAGTATTGGATTAACATTTAGCCCCAAACCAGAAGTTAATGGCTGATGTTCTCGGATGAGTCCTAGTCAATCAGACTTGGTTGTGACACCTTCCATTCTCTGTCACTGTGTGTTCTTTGAGAAGTAGGGATTGTGTCACTCATCTTGTCAATGAGCAGCAGAGGTCCTAGCCACACAGTGGAGGTGGCATATTGCTGCTGGAGAGTGGGGCTGCATGCTCCACCTTCCTGGGGGCTGCTGTGGTAGATACTGATTATTATCTCCTTTGGAGCAGAGCTTCTAGAGCTTTCCTTCTGCCTTCATATGCCAGAGGAGTGCAAAGGGCTAAAGAGTGCCCCAGGAGGTGTTATTATGAAATAGCCTAGTCCTCCCGAAGCATGAGGTGCAAGAGAGTCTGGGAACCCTGCTCCACCCTGGCATGAATCAAACCTTCCCATCTGCTAATGACACTGCTTCCAGGTCATTCCCACCCTCTAAATGAGGCATTTAACAAAGATAAAATACTCTTGCATTAAAACTATTTCAAAGATCGTCATGTATTGGTTTAGAGGTCAGTTAGCTTATGCTTGGGACAACCGAGCAGTCATTACTGTCTTCATTAATGATTGGAAAAGTACTGAATCTTTTCATTTTAGAGAGGTCTGCAAACACCATTTCAAAACATACAATTACATCACTAATAACTCTTAATTATTGTAGTAAAGTTAACAAAAAAATATGAGGAAGGCTGTCTTCCCTACGAAGGAATTAGTCTCCACAGATATTTTCATTGGACATTTGAAATGACTAACCCAGAATTAATGGGCTGGATTTTTGTCAGCATCTGAAAAACATCTTTTACATTTCAAGGAGTGGATTTCCTTTTTGAAAGAGTTTGTCATCATTTTGGAAGACTAAAAAGGTACTTCAGAGAGCATTAAAATGAGAAATAATTTCATTTGGATGCTATAAAGCTTCATTACGTGTAATTGATTGGGAGGGCTGGTGGCAGGCCAGAGAACTGGCGGATGGATGCCTGGGACTTAAAAGGAAATATGTGCATTTAGCATCAAGCACTCCTTCAACAGACCAAAGTTTATTTTTGATAGTTTCACTGTAGTGTTTAAGAGCTAAACTTTGGCACCCTTCTGGACTACATTTGAATCCCACTTTTCCACTCATTAAACCTGTAAGTTTAGACACATCACTTTGCATTTTGGATCTTGGTTGTCCTCACCTGGGAAGGCGCAATGCCTTCTTAGTAATGTTGTCTTACATGAAATGACACATATATCATTTGAGCAGTGCCTGCTGTAAGCACTGAATGAGGCTTGTCATCAAACCATGGCCATTTAGATAAGATGACGTATGTGGATAACATTATGCCAAATAAATGGAAAACGTCTGTATGGAACCCTGTGTATAATTTTCAACTTGGTATGGAAACACTGCTTTGTTCCTTCCTTCCTTCCTTCCTTCCTTCCTTCCTTCCTTCCTTCCTTCCTTTCCTTTCCTTTTCTTTCCATTCCCTTTTTTTTTCAAACTCAAGGAACTTATTTTGTGTTATGAGTTGTCAGTTTGTTAATAAGTAGTGTGTGTGTGTGTGTGTGTGTGTGTGTGTGTGTGTGAGCGTGTGTGAGCGTGTGCGTGAGCCATCTCCCCAAACCTATACAAGTTTAAACTAAAGAAATTTCACTGTAGGATGTGGAGTAAGCAGATATGAATTCCAACTTTCTCATATGAAATTGTATTTTCTAGGAGAATGTGTGGAAGGACTGCGGGAGAATGACTACCTGCTGATCCATTCATGCCGGCAGTGGACCACCATCACTGCTCATAGCCTGGAAGAAGGGCACTATGTCATTGGGCCAAAGATAGAGATCCCCGTACATTATGCAGGTAAGACTTGGCAAGACAAGCAGAGGGAGGATTTAAATAATGCTGATTTTCTTCTTGTCTTTGCAGTAGGAATTAGGAATATTTCTTATAATACCAACTAGAGAGCAGACTGACTAAAAGAACTAGACATTTCTGTATGGTTATTGTTTTTTAATCAATGATGACTCCATTTTGTCATAGATATTTGTAAGTAATGAGGCTAGGTGTTTATAAGGTGAAAGTTTTACATGAAGAACTTCTCGGTGGTCTTGGAATTGGAGCTCTATATGTAGCCAATCCATGAGCTCCTCATTTGTGTACATCTGAGTAACCCAAGTAAAGTCTGAGCAATGCTTTTGTGAATGACTAGGATGTAGCAACTCCACAAGGTACCATTTCACAAGTGAGCATAGTACTCTGGTTTTAAAGGTATCTGTTTAAAAGTTCACATAGCCTGGTTATGCCACTCCTCAAGTTGTCTTTCAGAATATAGCACTGGCATGACCTCATTGCTCTAGTTAAATATGGATGATGATGATGCCCACCTTGTCACTTTTAAACTCCATTAGTTCAGGGATGTCGTTGAACTTGGTTTTATTGAGTGAATTCTATAGTGAGAATTCAACTTGTGATGTTTAAATAAACTTTGCTTAAATAAACTTAAAGTGGGGGTAACTTACAAATCAGCTTTTTAAAAACAGACATGTTACCATTCGCTATCTTCTGGGTTTTAAAGTTTACCGCATAAGTTTATTAGCTTTTTATCTGTTATTGCGCTTTTTAAAAAGTTATAGCAGGATGTTTTAACCAAGTAACTATAAATTATGCAGACCTCAACTGCTGTTTTGACTATGACAAAGTTCTCTACAATGCTAGGCAAGTTATTTATTTGAAAATGAAATCTTGCCATGTTCTAGAATGATATCAAATGGTATTTGTTTAGACAGTAGTTAATGAATGAACAAATGCTTTGGTAGCCTTTTTGATTCTTAGAAGTCTGCAGCTGCTCACTAAACTTAAAAAAGCTTTCAAAAATATTATAGGAAAGAGAATTTTTGTGACTTAAAACTTTATCCTTTAGAATTATATAGGTGGATTTTTTCATCGGTACCACTAGCCAGCTCCCAAAAAACCACACAGAGACTTGATACTAATTATAAATGCTCAGCTGATAGCTGGACATTATGACTTAAATTAAAGCTCTTACAACTTAAATTAACCCATGGTTTTTATCTACACTCTACCATGTAGCAGTCCCTGTTTTCAACACAGCATGTTCCTCTTGCTTCTCTCTTCATCTCCTGGCAACTCCTGTGACTCTGCCCTCTTTTCTCCAATCCTCAAGTCCTACCTAACCTTTATTTGCCCAGATATTGACAATTCAGCCCTTAATTAGATGAATGAGAGCAACAGATAGTCACAGTGTACAAAAAGATTGTTCCGAAGTGTTAGGAAAAGTGTGAGGAACCTTAGCAGGTTCCATGGCGGGCAAGGTTGACCTAGGGTGGAGGGACAAACACACCAGGCATACAGAGCTCAGTGAGAAGTTTTATTAGAAAGGGGAGGGAAGCAGGGAGGAAAGAGAAAAGAGGTAAAGAGACACAGAGAGAGGACAGAAGAGAAGAGGGAGACAGGAAAAGTCCTCTCTGTCCCAGGGGCACAGTGGGAAAGAGAGGGAAAAGCGAGCAGAAAGAGAGGAGCAGGAAAGAGAAGAGAGCATAAGAGAAAGAGCGGGGGTCTTTCTTCTAAGGGGGTCCTTTGCACCTGCGTGCAGACTACACAATCATGGAACCCTGGGTACTGCCTGAGTGCATTCTGCCAGGTGACAGGGGCAGGCCAGCATAATGCCTGAATCCTTACACACAGCAATTATGAGTAGACTTTATGGGGAACGGTAAGTAGGTGGAACCCATAGAAGGTGCTGTGTTCATGAGGTTAGGACCAGGCAACTGGAGTAGTGTTCATAGGAGTAGGAAATGTGACAAGGTTGCTCACATCCCCCTCTAAGAGGTTCCACTGAAACAAAGTCCATTTTGTTTCTAGCAGGCTCAACTCTGGTTTTTCTCTTTATGGAAAATAAATAAATAAATAAATTGCCATCATTGTATGTTTCTACCTGGGCTGTGTTCTATCAGTCGACTTGAGTTTTAGAAGTGTCTACAAAACATGGTGATTGGCTCTGTCAAATCAGTCTTCCCAGAGGCCTGCTTTTGATGGAGACTCCCTCCTGCTGTGTCTTAGACCTGCAGAGTGCTAGCCTGTTTTCCCATCTCTCTACTCTAAAAGCGGACATTCTGCTGTAGCTGGATCAGTTTCCTGACTGCGCTGGATATTTTCCCACTTGCCCCACTCACCTTGCTGGGGTTGCCTCCTTCCCCATGCAGCTTCTCGGACAGGGAGGGCCGTCTGCCACAGATTGGCACTGGATCTGCATGTTGTAGTCATTGGCACATTTCATGACTCTTCATGCAGTTGTCACTTCCTATGCTCACATGTACCTCCCTTTGCTGACCAGTTGGATTGTACTTCCTCAGCAAATAAGGTAGATGTTTAAAATTTCTTGAGCATTCTTTCTGTCAGTCTACAATTGATAAACTTCTTTGTGGAAATAAGTGTTCAGACCAAGGATTGTAATCTTGGCTGTACAACGAAATCAAGTAGAAGGTTCTGGAAAGACTGGTTGCAGACTCCTACTTGCACAGATTCTAGTTCAGTTGGTCTCAATGGTTGCATAGGTCTAAATGGTTGTGTGAGATGGATTTTCAAGGTTTCTCCATGGTTAAAAATACAATTAAAGTTGGAGAAAGACACCCAGTATCAAATGGTAGAATTTTCCCCCCAAATCAGCAACAGACACAAGTATTTTGAGCTTATGCTTTTGTATCCATAGCCATCCATCTCTCAGTGGAAAGAAAGGTATGGCATGTTCAGACACTTAACTCTCTGTATGAGAAATGATGCCACACAGGTAACCAGTGGTTCCTGTAAAGACACGTGTTGCAAAGTTGTGTATTATCTTTCATGAAATAGAACCGCCAATGCTAAACTGAGAAGTAGGGACACTAAAGGCATACAACTTTACATTAACAAATAGAAAACAAATTAAAGAAAGAGAAACCTGAAACAAAGCCAAGTGCTTTCTGATGCCATTTACCATTAGTCAAGAAGGAGGGGTGGTTGGTGATGAGTGTCAGTCTCAGTTTTCTGAGCTATTTTCCTTGAGTTGCTTCAGCCAGAAGCTGGAGTACAAGTTTGGAAGTCCACATAGACTTTGACCTTTTGTTTGGGACTCCACATCTTTTGACACATGAAGCATGAAGGCATTTGCATTTCAGAGTTTACAGGCAAAGGGCTGGCTCTCTTGCCTCGTGGTAGAACATTCGTTTCCAGTGTGTACAGCCCTGACCTTAATCCCCAGTTCTACAAGGAAAAAGAAGTTTACAAAGGCAAAGTTTAGTGATTTTCCTACTTTTTTTCTTTTTCAGTCTTCTATGCTAACAGGCAAACAAGAAGGCAGTTTGTTTGGGTTACATTTTAGACAGATTTGTGAATTTTGGTACAGCCACTTAAGTAGCTTTGACGGCATATTTATAAAACGTTTTCTTAGTTTTTTTCCGAAAAGTTTTCACTCTTTCCAAGGCTCGTCTCAAACTCCGAGGCCTAGGCCATCCTCCTGCCTCAGCCTATCCAAGTATCTGGGGTTGTATGCACGCAGGACCCTGCTTACCACACAGTGGCATAGTCTGTTTCCAAGAGGAGATTTATTAGAAAGTTCAGCCCTTGGAAGAAAGCGTTAGAGCGCAGTGTAGGAACAGAAGCTGTCACTGTCATTGTTCTTGCTTATCTGAACTCCGACTGTAATTAGTAGGGAATATACTTACCCAGGCATGTATTACCATTGTGTCATTAGCTTCAGGGTTTCATCTAAGTTGGAATTCATCTTCCATTCCTGGAGAAGGCTTAATAAGTAGTTCACAAACACCTTCAGCACAGCAGCAGTAGCACAGCCCACCAGCCTCGTGATCATCCTTGTTTGATTTCTGCCTCTTACTCATTCTCTGTATTGTTTGGACAAATACTGGTTTTTTAATGTACTAGTGGGATAGAGTACTTTTCTTCCAAAGAATCCAGGAGGCTATGCAAGGGACCTTTCAGACCACCTTCCAGACCTGAGCACTCCACGGACATTAACCACGCCAATCACCATAGCAAGTCCAATAAAATGTTTCCGAATTCCTTGCTCCTGTCTTGAACTAATCAAAAGGCAAATGGCTTGAAGCCAGATGAGAACCAGCACCCCTCAACGTTGTCCTGGTTGCTGTGCATAGTTTGGTTTGTGCGCTCTCTCTCTCTCTCTCTCTCTCTCTCTCTCTCTCTCTCTCTCTCTCTCTCTCTCTCTCTCTCTCTCTCTCTCTCCTTCCCTCCATCCCTGTCTCCGTTTCTCCCTGTTTCCCTCCCTCTCTGTTGTCTATTTCATTTTGTTTTTTAAAAATATTTTTATTTGTTTTGAGAACTTCATATGTTAGCCCTGTATCTACATCACTCCTGTCCCTTCCTCTCCCCCCAGTTCCTCCTATGTGCCACCTCCCAAACTTACATTCCCATCTTTAGTTATTGTTACATGTATATGCATATGAGTATCTGTGTGTATGTGCGTGCACGTGGGAATGTTCATCCTACCGAGTCCATTTAGCATTGCTCATGTGGACATGTGTCTAGAGCTGATCTCTTGAGATTGGATAACCTATGTGGGTGCTTGTTCCTGTAGTAGCCTGACTCCCCATCTCTCAGCAGCCATTGGCCACCTGTAACTCTTCATCTTGGACTGAGGCCAGGTGGAATTTCCCCCATCCACACTGGCATGTTAGCTGGTGTTGCCATTATTGCGGTCTTTTTTGGGCAATCGTATTTTGGGAGTTTCTGAATGCAACTTTTGAACTTTGTCTTGAGGCCTCGTCCTTCCATCGTTTGCTCAGTTTGTTCCGTTTTGATCTCATGTTTTCACTTGTTGCTTTTATCGT